GAGGAGGGAGGAGGAGGAGGGAGAGGGAGGAGGAAGAAGGATGAAGAGAGAGGGGACGGAGGAGGGGGAGGGAGAGGGGTCGGAGGAAGAGGGGGAGGGAGAGGGGTCGGAGGAAGAGGGAGAGGGGGAGGGGAGGGGGCGGAGGAGGAGGGAGAGGGAGTGGGGGAGGGAGGAGGGGGAGGAAGAGAAGGAGGAGGAAGGGAGACGAAGAGGGGGAGGAGGGGGAGGAGAGGGAGGAGGAGGAGGAGGAGGAGGAGGAGGAAGGGAGAGGAAGAGGGGGAGGAGAGGGAGGACGAAAGATGAAGATGGGATGGGGTGGCAGGAGGCAGGTGTGGACGAAAAGACGAGAAAAAAAAAACGCGCACGAACGCGTGTAAGTTACACCTGAGAGAGAGAAAAAAAAATAAACAAGAGACGAATAGAAGACAGGAGAGAAGAGAGGGATGGACAGAGGGAAGAGGAGGGAGGGGAGAGGGGAGGGGAGAGGGGAGGGGAGACGTGAGGAGAGGGGAAGGGGGGGGAAGGGGTTGTGTGTGTACCGGCAAATAGCGGGTATATTTAGGAACCACCAACGTGGCACAGTCCCCCTCCCCCTCCCCATCCACTACCCCCTTCTCCCTTCTTCCTTCCCTTCCCCTCCCCTCCAAAGCAACCGCCCCCCCCCCTTGCAATCCCCTTCCACTCCCTCCCCCTCCCCTCCACGGCCTCCCACACCCTTCCCCTTTCCCTCCTATGCCGTCCCTCATCTCCCCCCCTCCCCTCCCCACTTAGCATTCCTCCCCCCCTCCTGCTTTTACCTTTTAACCTCCCTCCCCCTCCCACCTCCCCCCTCCCCCCTCGATCTCACTCTTAAGCCAGCAAGTTAGATAAAAGGGGGAGTACATGGCGGGGGGTGGGGGGTGGAGAGGGGAAGAGAGGGAGGGGAGCGGAGAAGGGGGAGAACAGGAGGAGGACAACGAGGAGGGATATGTGAAGGGGGAAGGGAGAAAGAGGAGAGGGGAAATGGAGAGAGGAGATGGGAAGGGGGAGACAAAGAAGAAAGTAAAGAAAGAGAGGAGAAAGTAAAGGGAAGAAGATAAAAGAGCACAGAGAAAAGAGAGAATGGAGGAGCAGGGAAGAGGAGAGAAGAGAAGAGAAAAAAAGGGACGAGGGAGAAGACAGACCAATAAAAAAAATAACATAACCACCACCATCGTCGACACCTTTATCATCACTATCATCACCGATAACATGTACAGCGAACGAAAACACACCCAGCATGAGCACAGTGAAGTGATCAGCTGTTGACTGCGCCCCAGGAAGAAGTTCGGGAGACGCAGAAAGAGATGAAGCACACGATAAAGATGGGCCCAGGAGGGGGGGGGCGATAAACGGAGAAATGGAGGAAAACATTGATAAATGAGAGGGAAACGATGATGGAAGAAGGAAGAGGTGGAGTGAAGAAGGGAAGAAGTAGAGAGAGGAGAGAGGAGAGGGGAGGAGTTAGGAGGGAGGGAGGGAGGAGGAAGTTCAAAGAAGGGGGAGGTGAGAGGAGCGAGGTAGAGCGTTGAGAAGAGGGGAGAGTGGAGAGAAGGAAGGGGTGGAGAGAAAGAGAGCGTGTAGAAGAGAGGAGAGGAGGAAAGAGAGAGGAGAGGAGGGGAGAGGAGGAGGGGGAGAGGAGGAGGGGGAGAGTAGAGGAAAGGAGAGGGCGGAGAGGTGAAAAGAGGAGAGGAAAGGAGAGGAAAAGAGAAGAGAAGAGAAGCAAAGACAAACGAGAAAGAAAGCTAAAAAAGTAAACCAGAGAAAGGCGAGCTCAGGAGGGGCGCCCCACCCCAGTGACAGCGTCTTAACACCTCGCCCACTATCAAGCCCCGATAGAGAGCACCTCGGAACACACACGCCGCCACCGTGACCGACACGATAAAAACTGATAACAGAGCCAAGCCACTTGTGCCCTTCACACCGGGGAAGCGCGGCCGTCCTCGATGCTCTAAGTGGATTTAATACGTCCATTCATTCCAAACACATACGTACATCTAGATACCAAGAGCTAGAGAGATCAATATCGGGATCGACAGACAGACACAGACAGACAGACAGGTGTTGTCAAATTTACGACATACAAGAAGTATACAATGAACAACAAAAATACGTAGGTTTACATACATACAAAATAAAATACGCTAATTTTGAAGACTTATAAGATATGGACACATCAAGAGAAAGCAGCAACAGACTTGAATACGTAGCAACAAGAGGTGTAGGAAGATGGGGTAAAGAGCAGGCGAGAAAGGGAGAGGAAGGGAGATAGAGGGAGATTAAGTAAGGTGAAGGGAGAGGAAGTGAGGGGAAGGGAGAGATGGGGAGAGGAGGGGGGTGGTAAGAGAAGAGGATAGGAGGAGAGAGGAGAGGGCAGGAGAGAAGAGAAGAGAAGAGAGAAGAGAAGAGAGATGAGAGAGAGAGGGGGAGGAGAGAGAGAGGGGGGGGGGGGAGAGAGAGAGAGGGAGAGGAGAGAGAGGGAGAGGAGAGGGAGGAGAGAGAGAGTTTGTTTTCATCAATTTATTTCGCTCAGCGAGCGACAAGCCACTACAACACAAATTAAATGTTGGCTACAGAGTACTCATGACACGCAGGTCACGCCATGTATCAAATGTAGAAGGAAGGAGAGAGAGAGAGGGGGGAGGAGAGAGAGAGAGGGGGAGGAGAGAGAGAGAGGGGGAGGAGAGAGAGAGAGGGGGAGGAGAGAGAGAGAGGAGGAGGAGAGAGAGAGAGGGGGAGGAGAGAGAGAGAGGGGGAGGAGAGAGAGAGAGGAGGAGGAGAGAGAGAGAGGGGGAGGAGAGAGAGAGAGGGGGAGGAGAGAGAGAGAGGGGGAGGAGAGAGAGAGAGGGGGAGGAGAGAGAGAGAGGAGGAGGAGAGAGAGAGAGAGGAGGAGGAGAGAGAGAGAGGGAGGAGAGAGAGAGAGGGAGGAGAGAGAGAGAGGGAGGAGAGAGAGAGAGGGAGGAGAGAGAGAGAGGGAGGAGAGAGAGAGAGGAATGAGAGAGGGAGAGGAAGGAGAGAGGGAGAGATAGAGATAGAGAGAGAGAAGAGAGAGAGAGGAGAGACACATAGGAGAGGAGAGGAGAGGAGAGGAGAGGAGAGGAGAGAGAAACGAGGGGGGAATCTCAGCAGAGGAAGCACTTAGAAGACGTCAAGGGAAATGGTCTTAATCAGCTGTTCAATGCAACAGACACAGACGTTGGACTTTAGAAGGGGAAAGGGGGGGTGAAGGGGGGGGGTGAAGAGGGGGGGGGATGATGGAAGTGTGAGGCAGTAGAGAAATATGTTGGGGTGGCGTTAGGGTTTGAGATGAGGGGATAGGGAGAATGGTGGTGATTATGGTGGATTATGGCGCTGGAGATAACACAAGATATAGATAACAATAAAGAAAATAGAATACAGCAACAGCGAAAATGTTAAATAATATTAAGAATATAATAAATAAAACAAAATCAATGAAAAAGAAAAAAAAAAAAATCATCATCCCTTTTTAACTTTGCGTGTCCGAAAAGAGACCAGGACGAAAACCTAAAACGGAAAACGAAAACACAAAAGAAAAAAGTCAAGAGCAATACAGACCCCCCCCCCAAAAAAAAAAAGGGAAAAAAAAAAAAAAAAAAAAAGTCTCACATACCACAGGGTTCTTCGGCCGCGAGTCTGTTGGAATGAAATTAATATCTCCTGGAATTTGCCATCTCCTCCATTCCATTCATTCCTTCCCTTTTTTTCTCTCTCACAAACCTCCATCTTCTAAGTTCTCTCTTAATTTCTCAATGTTTAATTCATCCACTTTCATCAAACCCTTCTATCCTGCCTCCCACTCGTTTCTCTCTCTCTACTTCCCCTCTTTTCTTTCTTCCTTTCTCCTCTCCTTCCCTACACCTCGTTTACCTCGTACCGTCATTCCTCTACTTCCTCCCTCCCCTCCTTCCTCCTCCCTTCCCCCCCTTCCTCCTCCCTCCCTCCCTCCCTCCCTCCCTCCCTCCCTCCCTCCCTCCCTCCCTCCCTCCCTCCCTCCCTCCCTCCCTCCCTCCCTCCCTCCCTCCCTCCCTCCCTCCCTCCCTCCCTCCCTCCCTCCCTCCCTCCCTCCCTCCCTCCCTCCCTCCCTCCCTCCCTCCCTCCCTCCCTCCCTCCCTCCCTCCCTCCCTCCCTCCCTCCCTCCCTCCCTCCCTCCCTCCCTCCCTCCCTCCCTCCCTCCCTCCCTCCCTCCCTCCCTCCCTCCCTCCCTCCCTCCCTCCCTCCCTCCCTCCCTCCCTCCCTCCCTCCCTCCCTCCCTCCCTCCCTCACTCACTCACTCCCTCCCTCCCTCCCTCCCTCCCCCCCCACCCCACGCAAAAATAAGCAAAAACAAACAACGTAACTTAACAAACCGGACAGAAAAAAGCTGTGTCAATAACCAGCTCAAAACAAGGACATGTTGAATTTGTTGTCAAGGGAAGAAGAGGGAGAGAGACAGGGGGCAGTGAAGGGACGGGGGGGGGGGGGGCAGAGAGGGGCGTGGAAGAACAGGATGGAAAAGAGGGAGATGGGAAACAGGAAAGAAGGGAGAGAGGAAGGGGAGGAAGAGGGAGAGGGACAGGGGGCGGTTGAAGGGAGGGACGGGGGGGGGGGTGAGGGACAGAGAGGGGCGTGGAAGAACAGGATGGAAAGAGGGAGATGGGAAACAGGGAAGAAGGGAGAGAGGAAGGGGAGGAAGAGGGAGAGAGACAGGGGGCAGTGAAGGGAGGGACGGGGGGGGGGGGGTGAGGGACAGAGAGGGGCGTGGACGGACTGGATGGAAAAGAGGAGGATGGGAAACAGGGAAGAAGGGAGAGAGGAAGGGGGGACGAAAGGGAAGAAAGTGAAAGAAGGAGGGAGGGATATGATAAAAATGAAGTGAGACAAATATACAAGTAGAATAAAGGAAAAATGATGGGAAAGGACGGTCTTAGAAATAAAAATAACAAAATAACAATAACAACGACAACAACAGACTTGCCACAAAATAATAAGAAAAGAGAGGGAGGAAGATGAGAGAGGAAAGAGAAGACGGAGAGGGAGAGAGAGGAAAGAGAAAAGAGAAAGAGAGGAAGAGGTAGAGAGAGGGGAAGGAAAAGAGAGAGAAAAACGAACAAGAAAAGAGAAAAGGGAAAACAAAAATCCGAACCGAGATGCGTCGAAGGGTAAAACAGAGATAAGAGAGCGAGATAAAGACCAAGAATGACCTGAAAAAAAAAAAAAAAAAAAAAAAATGCAATCAACAAGACATCGAAGAGATAGACGGGGAACGCTAATGCCAATGACCGATTCCGCTTCACCTCCTTCCATGTCCTGCGGCTCTTGGCACTCCCCCTCCTCCCTCCTCCCTCTTCCCTTTCCCCTCCCCCTCCCCTCCTCCCTCTTCCCTCCCCCTCCTTTCCCTTCCCTTTTCCCTCCCCCTCCTCCCTCTTCCCTTTTTCCTCCCCCTCCGTCCCCTCTTCCCTCTTCCCTTTTCCCTCCCCCTCCGTCCCCTCTTCCCTCCCCCCTACCCTTTTGTTATTTATTTTCCTCTTTCCACACCTGAAAAGAAAAACGATATGCGCAGATACAAAATACGTACACATACTCATTCACAAATGCACACATTTATCATGTGCATGTGAGTGTACGTAATTCCTCTGCTCGCCTTTCCCCTTTCTGTCACCTAAGTCCCTTGTCATTCTCCCAACTCCTTTCCCTTTTTTCCTAATCCTTTTTCTCATCAAGGCATGGCCTCCCCCCCCCCCCCCCCACGACAACCTTGGCACAGAGTCTGAGTGTGGCCTTTGATAAGCTTCAAGAAGCATTCTCTCGCCACGTGATCTGCTGATGGGCTGCCCAGGTTCATGCTGTCACACCACGCGCGCATAACACACATACATACACACATAGATATATCCGCAACCAAACACATGTAGCACGCACGCGCATATACGCACGCACACACACATGAGCACGCGGACGTACATGTCATATTTCACACACGCATCCGTAGCTGTTCTGCGGCAGATATGCATCAAGCATTCACAACGACTAAGAAAATCAACATGACCATTACATAACTGACAAATCTAAAAGCAGCCACCAACACACCGATATGAAAGCCTGTAAATTATAAATCAAATGGCCCGTGGCACGTGTTAGGTGACCAGGTTTCAAGGGAGAGGAGGGAGAGGGAGGAAAAGGGAGAGAGGGAGGAATGAGGAAAGGAGGAGACCGGAAAAGTGAGAGATAAGGGTAGAGGGAGAGGGAGATGGAGATAGGGAGATGGAGATAGGGGGGAGGGGGGGGAGGCGGAGGAGGAGGAGGAGGGGGTAGAGAAGGAGAGAAAGAGGGAGAGGGAGAGAAGGAGAGAAAGAGAGTGGGTCAGAGAAAGAGAAAGAGAGATTAAGAAATAAAGAGACAAACTAACCGACCACTACTAATTCTAGACATCTTGCTAGACAAACATACAGATGAAAAAGAAGAAGAAAAAAGTACACTTGCCCCAGCCGTCCACACAAGCTCTTACCACGTGTATGCAAGCGCCGGGATAGCATCTCCGCGGCGCAAGCACGCAAAGACAAAGCCAAAATAAATAAATAAATAAATAAATAAATAAATAATAAATAAATACTCACCTTCTGGTCCTTGTTCATGCGCTCGCCGACCCATGCCTTGGCGCCGGCGAGGTCCGTGCCCACCTTGATGAGACCCAGCTTCCCTCGGCGCTTGATCAGCTGGTCGGGCTTCACAACCAGCTTCTGCAAAGGGAAGAGGTCGGGGGTCAGTGCGGATGGGTGGGGGGGGTAGGAGGGGATGATGAAAGGGAGGGGACGGAGAGGGAAGAGGATAGAGGGGGAGGATGGGGGAGGGAAGAGAGGGAGTTCGGAGAGGGGGGGGGGGATTTCGCTGGTTCAAAATCAATGTTAGAGCTCCTCCCACTGGACCGGAGGCAAATGTAGGGTATCATAATAAACCATATTTTCAACGTAGATGTCGGGATAACACACGCACACACTCGCGTATCGTACACATACATATTGCAGGAAAGTAGATATTTCATACATACAGCAAACATGCATTGCTTACATACATAAATTAGATAACCAAGGTGGCACGTCGCACGGGCATGACACGTGGCACGCCATTTGAAAACGAACATCCGGAAATGTATGAAACCCTTCAAACAGAAGTCGCGTGCCACGTGCGACGCCGAGATTTGAACTGTCCGTTCTTCTTCAATTTAACAACAGTGCTCTCCATTATCAATATATATATTTTTGTGAGAAAAGAAAATCCCTACAAGTATATCTAGGTATTAATTTTGAATAAGAATGATCTCGTGTTCTAATTCATTCAAAGTAAACAGTTATCGCTTCGGCATCCATCGAAAACGGGTGTGCTAGGTATGAGTGCAGCAACTGTACACTGATGTGCAGTAGTTTCAGCTCAGGGGTCGCTCCAAACTTACCCTTATACACCCTGGACAGAGAGAGCAGGAGCATTGGAACAATTCACGTTCTGCCCCGAAGCCCTGCATTTTATTACTCCAAGTGACAGAAAGAGGGCTGTCAAAAGATTACTTAGGACAACAATATCTCATCCTCTGATGATGTCATCTTGTGAACTGAGTGAAAACGGCCTGACACTCGCCACGTGCAACCTAGGTCTTAAATCACCGTGCCACGTGTCGCTTGCCACCTGCCATTTACCACGTGCAACATGCCATCTTGGTGTGAAAGCGACCATACATTCACACATTGCATACCATACATTACACATTATTGCGACCATACACTACACACACACACACACACACACACACACACACACACACACACACACACACACACACTACATACCTTGCACACATTCCTCACTCACACCCCCCTCCCCCCTTGTCTGCCTACCTCCGCCGAGAGCCACGGGTGCTGCGTGGCGAGGGCGTCCCACTGGGTGTCCTCGGTGACGGCGGCGTAGCGGCAGGGCGCGCACACCCCCGCCGGGAGGTTCTTCTGCAGCAGCGCCTTCCCCGTCGCCTCGCGGATCGCCTTGGCTGACATCCTGTTCT